TAAAAAAGTTACACCCCAGAAAACTGCCAGATAAGTGAACCACGGTTGCTGAAACTTCACACCTGGACCAGAAGTCGTACAACAAGCAAAGGCAGCAGTTTCTGAGTGAATGGACAAAATGTGCTCCCTGATCAAACGGCCATAAAATAAATCTATCAAACCAAGAGAAATGCGTGGATCTTTGATGTAAACCCACATCATCCGAATGGCGAATGAGCTCTTGGTAAGTCACCGGCAACAATATCCTAAATCACTGCTGTCTAACATTCTGTATTTGAGTGTGCAAAGACTAGAGGTGCATACAGGAAATAAAAAATCAGAGGGACGATGGGATATATTTTGTACTCAATTCCAACGAAACTTCATGATCATCATGAAGCCGGCTAACCCACCTCCACCACCTAAGGAGCTATTCATCATTAGAAAATCGGATCCTGGAGCGAAGCGGCAAAACAAAACATCATTGTGTTTTCACAACTAACCTGCGAAAAACCGATTGAACAATCCAGCGGCCTCTATTACACCTTTGTAACCGGCAATGTTGGCCATCGAGGATAACACATCAAACGCCTGAGCTCGACTAATTCGAGGAACGCAGTCCAGAGCAATAAGGTTGGCTTTTTTCTTACCGAGTTCGTCCAACAGGGGCTGGATGAAGGAAGACAGGGAAATTTTATTAAACATATATTAGAGACAAGGGAACGGCTGTTTAAAATATCCCAGGAAGATCAAACAAGGTTATTGTGACGAATGATCAATATATTTCTAGAGATGCGGTGAACTGACCAAGCTATACATTCATATACACCGTAAACCTGTTTATTGCTGTATTGCTCATTAAACCACACACTCCTTGTTATTTCTTCATTTCGGCTATTCTACATGATTTGTAGATTAAAGCCTATTTTGGGTCATGCTTCTATTCTTACACACGTCAAACTGTCCAAACATCAGAATCCAATCTAACGAACAATGGAGTTTCGTCAACTCCAACGCTGAAAATTTACCCTTAAAAGCCGATTGGAACAGCTTATCTGGACCGGAGGCCTTAGTCTTTTGGAAATAAGCTGTTTACCAGCAAACCTATTTCAAATCATGGATTGGCATCAATTGAAAGTACCTGTTCAGTCGGGTTGTGGCGTGATAGGTCAGATGTTGAAGAAGGTCAGTTGAACAGAACCTCGAAATGTTCAGCTCATCGATTAAAACGGCGTTGCTGATGACGAATCAATGCCATCGAATTCCTTAAAAAACCGTGTTAGGTCTGTGATTCACATACGTTTGAGGCCAGACTATGTGACAAACAAATTGCGGTACAATAACCTTCATGAAAAGAAAAACGTTCCATTATTTGCTTGTGGGCTGATTACTATCAGGTTGCCCAGGCCAAAGCAGATGAATTTTTTTGGGGAATTCACAACCGAAGCCTGCAGCTAGCCTAAGCCTGACCCACAAGGCATCGGGGCGGTATGGGAAAATCGCAATTCATTGGGGACCGGTGTCCAGTTCGTTGGATGATGCACAATGCACGGGGTCTAACGTCCAAGGTGCCCGGCACACCTTGATGCCCAAACGAGCCGGTGACCACTGCCACAACCAGAAAGTTGTGTGGTTCATAAACCTCATGATTGGTTTGGAATCAGGGTTTTTGGCCAACTCCCCTGAGTGAACTGCCAGTGGCTCACCAACCCGGTTATAGTCACGGGCGTTGGTTTTTCTCCCCTCACCTTGGTGAAGGAAAACACCACCACGTGAAGGGAGTGAGCAGGGCTTCCTCAGTAGAGGATAATTGAGACGCTCCGTTGTATGGGAGCATTTCACGAGGTGCAAAGGGTGATCGTCCACAACCCAAGACATCCACCCCCGACCATATGGAAGCGTTCGGTCAGCTAGTTTTAACTGTATTTTAGCCATAGAAAGACGCACCCCAAGTTGCGATTACTACAAAGCTATACTGCATGTCTTGAATGCCGACTTAAAAGCTTGCAATGGCTCTATAAATAAAAAGATTGCCACAAACAGTATACATCAAAAAGCAATATGCTAATATCATGGATATAGAACGGCAGCTGCCCAAAAATCTGAGGGAAGATTAACTTCAGCATGCTTCAACGGCAATACAATAATTTTTTAAACTATATATAAACCCTTTAACCGTTGAGTAAGAAGTAGAACATTATGGAATTCCATTGAGTCGCTCTTTCATGTTTGGCTCACCGACTACTAAAACCTGAATCTCATAGCAACCAGACCACACGGTTAATTTCGAAAGCCATGAATGCAAATATTAACTTCTAACCTTGTTTTGGGCAGGGTAAACTAAACTGATGAGTGTACTTCCGGGTTTGATCATGCCAACTTCGTTTGTATCTTTTCCAACAGATATCTGCGGGGCGCGAATTTTTAAGACTACATCGCTCGCAGCATATAAGGCACTCGGATCACCGGGGACAACTTTTGCTCCAGCCTGTTCGTAATCTGCATCACGGAACTGAGCCCCGAGTCCGGCTCCAGCTTGAACTGACACTTGAAATCCTTTTTGCACAAGAGTCTTCGCACTCTGAAATAAATACAAAAACCACTTTGGATACTCAGAGTCATCATGAATTATTGAACGAGGTTCCAAACATGGAATTGCTAACTTAAATATCGATCAAATGAAAGCATATCACCTTCGATGAAATAGTTGTAACCTGCAGGCAACAAAGAACCGCTGTTCATAAAATTACACCGTCTGCAATACATCACCGTGGGGTCAGTTAACACTACTTCAAATGCAGTGTAACAACATGGTGATACACATGTAATAATTTTGCGTTTGTGCCAAACACGTTAATCAATCTGTTCAAAAAAAAATTTCATGGTACGTCTGTTGTTACAAAATTATTTGCGCGTATGCGATCACCGGGTAGTGGATTTTCTAAGAGATCAATAGGACGACACGACTGATATGGTTGAAGATACAACGCCACAAGCAAATTCATTCAGACATTTTAATTTTCAAGTATTTTAATTTTTTGAAAATTCTGTCCGATAAAAAGGAATTCCGTGATTATTTCGAGCAAAATTTACCTCCGGAATCATTAATTCTTAATTAAAACCAGGGATACACCATAAACAAGTAGAATCGACATAGAATTCGGTTACTTTTTAATGTGCAGCCCATAACTAATGTCCTAGATGAACCTTCCGACGAGAGACGTGGCTCACCGGTAGTACATTATGGTCTGTTCAACGCTGAATCTGATGTAAAGGTCTCACTGAGGTCAACGAATTCGTTATTGGAGACGTAAGATAAATATTTTTACGTAATTTCATCTGAATTAACTGAAGACCTACTTATGATTTGATTACGGATGATGTGATCGATTGTTATAAGGTGC